CTGTTTACTTGCCTTGATGCAAGTAACACAGCATGAAGTAGAGGCTCTGCATCGCAGACACATAAAGCCAGAAGGAACCTCAGGAGCTGAGGTCCATCACTCTGCCAAAAGGAGGATCAACTCTGCCAGTTCTGACACATTCTTCTGTAACCTGTACTTAAAGAGCCTGAACACGGGAGGCATCACACCTCCTCAGGCAATCCATTCCAGCTCTTCACTATTTGCATCACCACAAAGCTTTTCCCAATCTCACTAAGTTTTGCTGCAGTTAAAGCCCACAACTTTTTGATCAATTTATCATGAGCAGTGGGATTGAAATTCCCTTCTTTAAAGCATCCATTTAGCAATTAAAAGACTGTGACATCTCCCCTTTTCTCTGACTAAACACCATCTTTCTTTTCAGCCTTTTACTAGGCATTTTCAAGTCTCCTGATCATTCTCACCACTCTCTCTACACTCGTTTTGATCTGCACCTTCCGTGAGGTGCAGTATCCTAAAGCAGGTAAATCCACTCCAGCTCACTCCCCAGGCAGAGCTGGATAACTTTACATATCTTGAAGCTATTTCTGCTTATACATCTCAGTATTACTTTATTCCACAGGAGCATGCAATCAACCATGACACTTACATTTCTTTCCATACCGAACTCAGTCCACACTTGCTCTACATACTCCACCTGTGTACCCAGTTACTCCTGGCTGGGCACTGGTCCTCACGTAATGCACATTGGCATAGTTTGACAGACCATACTGATGAGCATAGAGTATATATCAAAAAGTAGCCAAGTATTTCGATAATAACCTGATAATTAAATGTATTGGACAAATCAGCTATTCAACAGTAACCAGATATTAAAAGTATACCCAAATTTCCACAAGTAACTACATGTGATGCCTGCTTCTGCCAGTCAACACTGTAGGAAGCAAAAAAGGTCACCAGCCTGTCCTGAGACACAGAAAAAGACCCGAGTATTGAACTTGGAGCCTTGTAGATTAGGAAATCTACTGCAAAGGTAGAGCTTGATGTTGCTGCTTATGACCATTGCAACTAGAAGAGGCAAACAGTGCAACACCTGTTTCCTCTAAACCCTCATAGGTGACAGAAAATCTGGACATAAGCCCATGATAACATGAACTGAATGTTGCTAGAAGGGAATCAAATCACAGGATCTCTGTACTGCCAAGATACATTGAGTACATTCTGTACACCCAGTATGTATCTCCAGAACACCTTTGTTACCTCTGCAGAAACTACTGCAAAGGGCAGAGTCTCTTACACCATTCCAGGACAACAACCACCTTCTGATGCTGTTCCACACCAAATCCTTACCTAACCAGCACTCCTGCCCGCTTGAGGAAGTGTTAATCACAGCAGGTTGAATCATCTTGGATGGCTCCTAGACAAACCCTAATCTGGATTTAGTTCAGCA